ATGGCGTTGAGATCTCGCCCTCATCCTAAATTACAAAGGAAAAAGTGGCAACTGCAACTGAAAAAAGAAGCATGCTAATATCCCCTTTCAGTACAAAAGTACTCTCCTTTTAATTTTTGTAAAAACTGGAACATAAGACCTGTTTAAATATTTTTTTTTAATTTACACAAGGAACAGTAACGCCTTTCCCGTCTCTCTCTGGATTTAAATTTGAGATACTTTTCTTCCATATTTTTGGTCTATAGACTGAAAAGAAACAGTTACTCAAATTCAGTTTTGGTGATTTGAACTTTCAGAGAAGATGCGATATTTGCTTATTTTTCTTTCAACTTTAAAGGGAGACATTTTCTTTTCATTACTTGAAACGATAACATGAAAGGGATTCAGACTCCAGTCATATTGATTAATGTAATACTTTTATAAAAGAAACAAAACTTTTTTTTTCTCTCTCTTTAGATAAAAAAAAGAAAAAACATTATTTTTGTTTATGTTGGCTAAAGAAGTGGTAGAGACTAAGACTCCTGTTAATTTTTTTTCTCTTATACAAATTTTTAGTATAACCAATATACGTGTTAAAAAGGGATTGCTGTTCTCATCCTGGGATATTTTTGCTGCGTTTGCTTAAGATTTGCTATATATTCATATAGGAATCTTCTGGGTCTGTTTTATTTTTTTATTTGTTTCATATTCACTCTTGTTCTATGTCTTTATCTATTGTTTCTCTTAACTGTAGAGGGTTACGCAATATCACTAAGAGGAAAGCTATTTTCTTATACTTGAAGCGCTTTAATGCAGATTTTTGTTTTCTACAAGAATGCCACTCTGTTACTGAAGATGCACAATTTTGGAGGTCACAGTGGGGACTAGATCTGTGGTTTTCCCATGGCACTACTAAATCTGCTGGGGTTTGTATTTTAAAGGACAGATTTAAAGGAAAAATCTTAAGATCTATCTGTGATGCTTTTGGGCACTACATTGTACTTGCCACTGAGATTTTAAATGAAACTTATATTATAGTTAATGTATATGGTTTTAACTTACAAAAAGAAAATAAAGCTCTCTTCAATAGATTAGGCAAGCAGGTGATTCAAATGTTAACCATTTTTCCTAACTCTGCTCTAATCTTTGGTGGTGATTTCAATGTTGTCCTAGATAATAGTTTAGATAGATGGCCTCATCAAACTGGAATTCCTAATTCAGATTATATTATGGCTTTTATAGAACAATTTTCCTTGTTTGATCCATGGAGAAAATCTCATCCAACACAAGAATGCTTTACTTGGAGTAACAAATCTTTATCTTCTCAATCTAGGATTGATTATTGGCTTACTTCCAATGACTTGGATAACATTGTTACTGACATAATACCATCTCCGTTCTCAGATCATGCAGCTATTTCGATTATGATTCCCTTTAGAAACTTTAGTAATTTAACTCAAAAATCTGGTTACTGGAAATTAAATAATTCAGTTCTTAAACATAAGGAAGTTATTACTGGAATAGAAAAAAATTATTTTGACTTACTGGAATAAAGCAAAAGTTGAAAAAAAATATTGTAATAATTGGGAACTTCTCAAATTTGAAGCGGGAAAATTTTTTAGGAAATACTGTAGTGAATTGGCAAAAAAGAGAAGAGCTGAAGAAGATAGTATTATTTTAAAAATATCCACTTTATCATCCAAAACAATAGAAGAATTATCAGAATCTGAAAAAGCAGAACTTACTGAACAAAAGATTAAATTAGAAGAATTTTACAAACAAAAGGCAGAAGGAGCTTTTATAAGGTCTCGAAGGAAATGGCTTGAAGAGGGTGAAATGAGCTCTGCGTATTTCTTTAGACTTGAGAGGCAACAAGCTAAATATAATTATATTGAGCAATTGAGGATTGATGGTAATATTGTGGAGAATGCAAAAATTGTTGCAAACTATTGTTCTGAATTTTACAGTAACTTGTATTCTTCTAAATTTTCTCAACAATCTACTACAGAATTCTTTAAATCGCTACATAACATAAAACAGATTAGTGATGATGAGTTTAATATATGTGAAGCCCCTCTTAGTTTACAAGAAGTTACGGATGCCATTAAATCACTGAAAAGCAACAAGTCTCCTGGAACGGACGGACTCTCTGCTGAGTTTTATAGAACATTTGAGAAACTTTTAACTCCTTTTTTGCTTGAGGTCTTTAATGAGAGCATAGATAGATCCTTCCTTCCTCCAACCTTATGTCAAGGACTAATAACTTTAATACCAAAACCAAATAAAGATCACTTATTAATTGATAATTGGCGACCAATTACCTTGCTGAACAATGATTATAAAATTATTGCATTAGTTTTATCCAAAAGAGTAAAATGTACTTTGAACAATTTAATTGATGAATGTCAATCTGGATTTTTGCAAAAAAGACACATTTTTAATAACATACGTTTAGTATTAGATATTCTAGATTATTCACATTACTTCTCTAATGACAACTTTATACTTTTTCTTGACTACTATAAAGCTTTTGATTCTTTAGAACATGAATTTTTGTTACAAACTCTTAGTAGGGTAGGATTTGGAAATTTCTTCTGTAGATCTATTAAAATGCTTTACACTAATTGCAATAGTTCTATTAGACTCAGCAGCGGCACCTCTCCTAGATTTTCTTTGAGACGAGGAGTTGGGCAGGGATGCCCAATATCCCCGTACCTGTTTTTGATAGCTACTGAACTTCTAAATATACATATTAGAGAAAGCTCCTTAAAAGGAATATCTATTGAAAACACTGAAGTGGTAATAAGCCAGTTAGCGGATGATACTGTTTTGTTTCTGAAGGATGCCTCACAGATTGCTACAGCAATAGAAATTCTTGAACCCTTTTCTAAAGCCTCAGGTCTCTGCCTTAACATAAATAAATGTGAATTATTACCAGTGGGTAATTGTTCAGAATCTCTAATTTGTAACATCCCTGTGAGAGAGAGTGTGACATATTTGGGAATTAAAATAATTAAGGACGATAAAAGTAGATGTATTTCCAATTTTCTACCAATTATTGAAAAAACGAAAAAGATGATGAACCATTGGCTACAAAGAGATCTATCAATCAAAGGCAGAGTTCTGCTCACTAAAGCAGAAGGTATTTCTAGATTGTCATATACAGCTCAGTCTATTTCAGTTGATAAGCACACAAACAAACTAATTGACGGAATGTTGACAAAATTTCTTTGGAAAAACAAAATTCATTATATTAAAAAATCAGTAATGCTGAATTCTTATGACAAAGGCGGCTTAAATTTTATTGATTTTAACTCACTTAATGGTAATTTTAAAATTAATTGGATAAGACAATTTCTTATAAATAGTTCTTCTATCTGGAATATTATCCCCCGTTTCATTTTCTCTCATATGGGTGGTTTAGAATTTCTTTTAATGTGTAATTACAAAATTGAAAAACTCCCAATCAAACTGTCTAAATTTCATCAACAAGTGCTTACAACATGGAGGCTTATTTATAAACACAACTTCTCCCCACATAGTTTTCTTATTTGGAATAATGCCAATATCATGTATAGAAATAAGTCACTATTCTTTAACAATTGGTTTAACAATGGACTATTATTAGTTAACCAATTATTTGATAATGCCGGAAATTTATTAACATTTACAGAATTTATGGCACGATACAAAATTCCTGTTACATTACAGGAATTTACTATTCTAACCGGGGCAATACCCACTGGTATACATATGCTGTATAAAGGCAGTGTATGTACATCAGCACTTACTGTTTGTCCTCCTAAACCTGAACAAACCTCGGTTGGGTTTATCTGTTTCTCTGGATTTAAGCCTAATAATCACAAAATTAGATCTTTAATCTTAAAAGAAAATATGTCTATACCGTATGTTATTTTTTACTGGAACAATATCTTTAATAACATAAACTGGACTCAAGTTTGGTCATTACCTCAAAAATTTTTTATCACAAATAAGGCTAAAGAAATATCATTTAAATTACTTCATAGAGTTTATCCCACAAAATTATTTCTACAAAAATTTAAAATTGATATTGAGTTAGAATGCTGTTTTTGCGAAAGCTTTAATGAAACTATTTCACATTTATTTTGGTCTTGCCAATATACTCGACTATTATGGATCAATGTTGAAGCTTTTATTGCCCATAATATCTTAAAAACCTTTTCCTTATCTTATAAACATGTGATTTTGGGTTTTTATGTTAAGGATCGCTCTTTAAAAGATGCTGGTTTTATTATAAATTTAATTTTATTATTATGTAAATTTCACATACATAAATCCAAGTTTTCCAAAAGCAAACCTCTCTTCATGGTGTTAGAAAAAGAGATTCAAATGTATATAAAAGTGATTTCCAAGTCTCAAAATAGAAAAGCAATTAAAACAATTAATATATGCTCCTCCTTTAACATTTTTACATAAAATGTTTGTATATATGCATTTCCTGTGAAAAAAAAAGTGCATTACTAACCCTTGTAAATCACTAAAATTATAAAATGTGCGAAACATATTTGTATGTAATTTGATAATTATGTACCCTCTCCTCTGTTTTTTTTTTCTTTTTTTTCTTTTTTTCTCTTCTTTGTTTTTTTCACTTATTTCATTCTTGTTAAGAAATGTAAAGTGATTGTATTGTATAACAAAACAACTGTAACTGTACATGCTGGTTCTTGTTAATAATAATAAAAAAAAAAAAACTTCTGTGTTTACTTTATTATTAAAGTTTTTGCTTCTAAATGGGCGAGTTTGAACTACGAGTACAGTAATAAAGACAAAGAATAAATCTTTAGTAACTTAATATAGTTTAGCTTCATTTTTTACTTGCTTATAAAGGAGTCAGGGTTATAATTCAGTCAGGAGAGCGTGAAATTTGCATCTTACTCCCTTTATCTTGCTTTTGTGCGATACCCTCTAAAAATATGAACTGTTAAAGAAGAAAAGTAACATAATTAAGGACAGAATCATAAATAAGCACAGAATCATACCTGTTTGTGTATGAAATAGCAGCTGAAATAAAGTGCAGTGTTCCTGATCGCTTCTGTCGAGGAATTTACAGTTGAGCCCCAATATATACTGAATAAAGGCAAGCAGCTGAAGTGTCCGTCAGATAAACAGTCTGGCAGCAGAAGGTTCAATATAAAAGCTGGAGTGTGTTGTCGTGATTTCTTCAGCACTGAACCTCCACACGAGTTTTCCTTGCTCTGAGCTTTTACTCGGATAATGCCTCTGCTAACTGTGTGCTCAGCACTACTGCCATCTAGAGGACAATAACAGCAGCATCCACTAATCGCCACATCCCCTTTCATTAGAGAGAAATCATCATCTGCAGAGCACAAACAACCGATATACAACATAAAACTCTCTAATTGTGACTAAAAGACAAAGTCACCTTCACACATTTTAAATATAAGTGCCCACATAAAAAATTGTAATAAATACTATATAGTGTTTTACTGTAGTAAAGTACATGAATGAATCTGTTACTGATAAAAGCAGCGCTTAATTTGAGCCGGATCCTGTGCCGCAATCTTTCCCAGCCGTGCTTGCTTTGTTTATGGGCGATTGTAAGTTCTCGCTGGTGACGCCATCATGTGGTTTGTATTTGAATGGCGGAAGGCGGGAACACGTGTTCGAAAATAGAATCAGTGTTCCAAACCGCAGAATGTTGATAAGAGGATGTCAAAGGTTCTGGTGAATTTCCGGCTATTTCCGCAAGATTTGTGAAGTACTTTAACCGTTGTAAATATTGACCACAATACTATTATGTGTTGGAGGCGAATCGATCAGAACTACATAATCTGAAGTGTAAACAAACTACAAACATGGCGGACGAGCGGGCCCAACCGTCAAAAAGTAGAGGCTTCGGTAACATTGTGTGAATGACTATTAATTAACATTTAGCCGAGTGGAAAATATTTAAATTGTGTTTTCCGCGTTATATTTCCTCTGCAACAATAATGTCAACTAATATAAAGACTTGTTTGGACATTACCTTCTGAATGTTATCCAAATACCTGAAGAGATTTCTCAGCATGAAAGACTGGTGAATGGCAGATTAACCTGCTGTTGCTTCTCCAATATGGTAGGCAACTAAATATGTAAGAAATGTGGATGATGTGTCGAGATGACAAGAATTTAGTATAAGAATAAGGACACAGTTAATGAGTTCAGAATGGAGAAGATTGGACTCATTTTAAATGTAAAAATTAAAAAAAAAAAAAAGTAGACTGGCACTTTAATTTCTCTTCTTTTCCCCCTGTATTTCTTTGATTTCTTCTCTTTACTGAGGTGTTCCTATCTTGTTTTGTAGATCTGTATCACAATGAGAGATTATCTTTGCTTTTCTGCAGTTGACATCATGTGTCATGAGTAAACAACCTAAATGTGGACATGCAACAAAGAAAACACTTTAAACGTTAATATATTTTACTGATATGATGTAATAAAGCAGCAGAAATCATTTAACATTATAAGAAAATGAGTTTTATAATAATATAAACTATGCAAATAGTTTTTACAATAAAGTTTTATTAATACAAGTCAACATAACTGCAATACATGAAATAATGACTATGAATATTTTTCTGATAAAACCAAGCAATTATGGATGGAAAATCATCATTCAGATAGAAATCCACCATTCAGTGATCTCTTACACCCGTGTTGGTTTGTGTCGTTAAAATGTACACTGTATTTATTTTTATTGTTTAGATATTGCCTAATTAAAACACCTCAGGAGCCCCAACATCACTCTACACCCTATCATTTCCTCTAAATCGCACAAAACTTGTGTCATTCACACAAAGCAGCACAGAAGAATGACACCGGTTTTGTGATTAAGAGAAAATGCAGTGGAGAGTGACATCATGACTCCCGAAATATTTTGCTTATATCTAAACAAAGTAAACAGATACAGTGTTTGTTTTAACGGCTCAAACCCTCACAAATCGAGCACAAACGACCTGTACTGATTTGAAGTCATTTGAGCAACAGGGGGTGAAAAGTGACGTCACACGGTCAAAAAAAAGAGCTTCATATTAAACCAATACAAACGTTCGTTTTTGCGGCACAAATCAGCACAAATGAATGGCAGAGTTTAGGGATTATTTGTTTTTATGGGGAAAAACAATTTAACGAAGGTTCAGCACCTGGTTCTGGGACATGTAGTTTGGGCAAAATTAAAAGTCAGGCGAGGAGGACCTCTGCTGGTGAGGGGAGTCTTTGGGACCGAACCGGCCACAGGTTTACCCAGGAGGGTTCCTCTGGATTATAGCCCTCTCAGTCTATTATGGCCTGTTTCCACTGAGTGGTACAGTGCGAGTCACCTTTGTCTTAAAGGGTCACGAAACACCAAAACACATGTTTTGAGCTGTTGACAGTCGTATATGTGTCCCACACTGCTAAAAACACTATTAGGACACCTATATTTCACTAAAAAGTGTAAATTGGTTGTTTTTGCGTTATTTCAAGCAAATTCGTACTTCCGGTTTGAAACGAATTTTTGAAGCTGCGTCACGGTCATGACATAATAGCGTGTATTCCAGCGTGCAGACTGGGCGTCTGTGCCAGAGTGAGTCTTATTACGTCTTACAGTGTGTTGCATTAATGCATGAGTAAGGCTTGGTTCAAACCAATCAGCGCGCTCTATTGTGCAACTTCATTAATATTCATTTGTGTCACCGTGTTTACACCACAGAGACGCCACGTTGTGTTGGCAAAACAAGCGTGAAGTGTTGTTTTATAGTTTGCTGCCGTTAAGTTTCGTTTTCATTTTCTCTCTGTGAGAGCTCATCTGGATCACGTGTGGATTAACAGTGTACGCGACGCTCGACAACAATAACTTACGTGTCTTAGGAGGATTATTGTTTACCTGAGAGCTGTTCTCATCTGCAAACGCTGAAATCTGGATTTGCTTGTAGTATTCTCTCCATAAAGACTAGTTGCTGGTAATTGTTCTGTCTCTACAGATTTGGTAAGTGAGCGACCAGTGCTCTTTGTTTATTCAGTTTGTTCGTATCGAATTAAGTTAACTATAGCACTGAGTGCAGAAATGTTAGCACCGCATTTAGTGACCGGAATAACACACGCGGCTTTCTGACACTACCTGCCGTGTGCATCTAAGTTTCCGGGAAATGCGGAGTTTTTTTTTTCTCTCATTCGCCGTGCGGTATTAAACATTGCATGAAAAATACACGCTTAGAGCAGTTCCTCGAATCAAATATCTCGTTTGTCGCGAGGGGCATGAATGAATTCCCTGAATGAAAGAGCCAAACTGCAGTTAAAGTCCAACATTTAGTAATTCAGCAAATAATTCGACTACAGATGTCCATGTGAACACCATCACTTTCTCCTGTCTGTGTGTGTGTGTATTTTGACTCTGAAACTCGCGCGTGCACAAATAGACACTCCCACACCATCCCACTTTAGTTCCTCCGACACTTCCCCTAAACAGAGCTGGACACGCCCACTTTTCTGACTTTTTCGAAAGTAGAGGTGTGAAAACACCCTGCTGAAACGAGAGGGTTTCATGGCCCTTTAAATCTTCTCCAGCACATGTAGCCTCTGTTAGAGAGTTTCAGAGTCAAAACACACACACACACACACACACACGGGAGAAAGTTATGGTGTTTACATGGATATCTGTAGTCTAATTATTTGCCAGATTATTAAATGGTGGACTTTAACTGCAGTTTGGCTCTTTCATTCAACGAGATATTTGATTGGAGGAACTGCTCTAAACGTGTATTTTTCATGCAATGTTTGATACCGCACGGCGAATGAGAGAAAAAAACCCTCCGCATTTCCAGGAAACTTAGATGCACACAGCAGGTAGTGTCAGAAAGCCGCGTGTGTTATTCCGCTCACTAAATGCAGCGAAAATCCTACACAAGGTGAAAGTTTGGTTGTGGTGCTAACATCTTTACACTCGGTGCAATAGTTAACTTAGTTCGATACGAACAAACTGAATAAACAAAGAGCACTGGTCGCTCTTTAATCCCTAGCAACTAGAGCCGCGTCTTTATGAAGAGAAGACTAACGTTACAAGCGAATCCGGATTTCAGCGTTTGCAGATGAGAACAGCTCTCAGGTAAACAATAATCCTCCTAAGACACGTAAGTTATTGTTGTCGAGCGTCGCGTACACTGTTAATCCACACGTGATCCAGCTGAGCTCTCACAGAGAGAAAATGAAAACGAAACTTAACGGCAGCAAACTATAAAAGCAACACTTCACGCTTGTTTTGCCAACACAACGTGGCGTCTTTGCCGTCTAAACACTGTGACAGTAATGAATATTAATGAAGTTGCACAATAGAGCGCGCTGATTGGTTTGAACCAAGCCTTACTCATGCATTAATGCAACACACTGTAAGACGTAATAAGACACACTCTGGCACAGTCGTCCAGTCTGCACGCTGGAATACACGCTATTATGTCATGACCGTGACGCAGCTTCAAAAATTCGTTTCAAACCGGAAGTACGAATTTGCTTGAAATAACGCAAAAACAACCAATTTACACTTTTTAGTGAAATATAGGTGTCCTAATAGTGTTTTTAGCAGTGTGGGCCACATATACAACTGTCAACAGCTCAAAACATGTGTTTTGGTGTTTCGTGACCCTTTAAGGTTACTCTCAGACTCTTGTGTGTTATTCAATGTTTCTGACTGACTGAATCTCACTTGTGTCTCTCCATTGTGAGTCCTCTCATGTCTTTTCTGGCTTTCCAACCGATTGAATCTTTTGTCGCAGAGTGAACACTTGTAAGGTTTCTCTCCCGTGTGAATCCTCTCATGTGATTTCAGATGTGGTAACTGATTGAATCTTTTGTCACAGTGTGAACACTTGTACGGTTTCTCTCCCGTGTGAATCCTCTCATGCAATTTAATTTGTGATGACTGACTAAATCTCTTGTCGCAGTGTGAACACTTGTATGGTTTCTCTCCAGTGTGATTGCTCTCATGTGTTTTCAGGCTTAATAAATGACTGAATCTTTTGTCACAGTGCGAACACTTGTACGGTTTCTCTCCAGTGTGAATCCTCTCGTGTGTTTTTAGGCTTCCTAAATTATTGAATCTTTTGTCACAGTGTGAACACTTGTAAGGTTTCTCTCCAGTGTGAATCATCTTGTGTATTTTCAGATATGGTAACTGACTGAATCTCTTGTCGCAATATGAACATATATAAGGTTTCTCTCCAGTGTGAATCCTCTGGTGTTGTTGTAAGCTTGTAGATGTAAAAAAAGTCTTCTCACACTCAGAGCACACATACTCTCTCACACCGGTGTGGATCTTCTGATGTCTTCTTATATTTACTTCATTTGCAAA